ATGCATAATTAATATGTAATCAATTTGACATAATCTTCAAATGAGACGGTCTGAGGTATGTCGTAATGGGATTCCTGACGCAGGAGTTACCCACAGACCTTCGGGGCCTGAACGGGCTTTGTCACGTGCCTGACGTGTTATTAAGTGGTTACAAGACTAAGTGTTGGTATTTGATTTACCACTTCAATCAGTGCGTAGCTCAGTAAGCCAGTGCTGGACCAGTGTGAGCTAGGTGCTGGCGAGAGAGAATTCAGATGTTATTCTTGCTTTCTTTCGCTCTGGCTAAGAGGATGAGTTGCTGTTCCCATGACCTACCTATTAGCAGGCTGGACCGCTCCTTCGGGGGTGAGGGGCTTTGCAGTCTCTTCTCGTTTGTCACCTTTTTGCAGCAAACTGAATTAAGTCATTTAGAGACCGTGAACATTAAGAAGAATTTGATTGTTCTGTTTTGTCTCATTTGGATCTCGCTGTTTATTAAAATGTAATGTTTTACAGAGGTAGTTTATTTCTTCTCTTTATGCTTCCTTGTGGCAAGTGCCTTGAAATAAAACTTGAGAATGTTCTGGTACTCTGTGTTTCTGATAGCACAAAGTCGTGTGAGGAATAGCCTGTGGTTCGGAACCATTCCAGAGCATAGGGATTATTGCCAAGCCAGTGAGAACTGGTACATTTTGGCATTTGAACGAAGGTTTCCACGTTCTGGAAGAGGCACGTGCTGATACTTGAGAGGGAGATCCCCGGACATGTGACCGAAGACCCCTTGGGAGGCCTCCTTTAGTGAGGACGCGTTGTGAGGACGCATAGAGAAAAGATGTTGAGGACACATTTTCTGAGGTGCTGTGATGTCTGTTTTTTTATTTCTGTGCACTCTTAGTTTTGGGGAGTGTCAGACGCAGAGGTTTCAGAAAGAATCGTGCACATGATATGTTAGAGACCGTGCCGGTCTGACTAGCTGAGTCGGACCCCCTTCTGGTCTGTCATGTTCCAGTGTGAAGAAGGACCAGAGTAAGGGCGCAGGTGGCCTCAGCAGCACGTCAGGGTTTCTCCCGGCTGCACACCTTGAGCCAGACGTAGGACGTCACGTGGCATCAGCCAGGACGAGGGTGGTTTTTTACGGACATTACTCTGACACCACGTGTGTCGTTTTCTTGTTGCGGGTACGTTTTTGTTTTAGAAATGTGTCTTGCTTTTTCGGATTTAAGGTCCATTGTGTTGTGGGCATTGGTCATGTAGACTGCAGCACCACAGCCTGCCACCATGCTCCCACGCACTTTGGTTCTGTGGTTCTGTGCCAGGTCTGCGGGCGATGCCCACCCTTCTGGCCCCAGGAAAATGCAGAGCAGGCTGCTTTTGTTGCCTGTTGTTCACCCCACAGTAAAAGTGTTCACATTTCCCTCAGAGTGCTCACCTGAAAGCTCCTTTTTTTCCTTCCATAAAGAGATTCTAGTAAGAACAAGATGAAGTAGCACACCACCACATTTCTATTGAGAATCGGTGAGACAGAATTGGAGGCTGCAAGGGAGCTTGGCTTACACGGACGGCCCTGCGCTTCGCTTTGCCTGCGCCCTCTCCAGACAGCACTGTCTGCCTCGTTCGTGCGTATCTGTGCGTGTGTGTGTGTGTGTGTGGTTTGAAGTCCGTCGTGTTCTTGGAGCTCTGGCACTTAGGCTTCACTTTGGTGCAGGAAGAGCTCTCTGGCCCACCCACCGCATGACTGTAAGCTGAACCAGAAACATTCAAAGTAGAGGGATGGCTGCAGCCAGCCCCAGGTCCTCCTCACCGGGGTGCTCATGCCCGTGTCCATCCGGACCGACTTCCCACGCTGTCAGCCGTCAGCGCCGTCCCAGGTGAGGGCAGTGGTAGGACACTTGACAGAGACCTGGAGTGACAGCTTCCAGTGCCTTCTAGTGAAGGACCCTTGTGCGGGAACAGGGCCCTATGGAACGTAGACGTTAGGACACACAGGCCTCGGGATTAGCACAGCGGGCAGGATAGCCTCCCATCACTGTCCCCACGTGGCAGTCTGTCTCTGCATCCTTCCCGTGGCACTCCCCGCTTTGGAGAAGGCCGCTGGTGGCTCTCGGTGTTGTGCCTTAATTCTTGGAGGCCGCAAGGTGCTTTTCTTCCTCATGGTGAGGCCCTCACATGGGTGGGCCTAGGACGCAGGGTGTGGGTGGGCCTTTGGCGGAACAGGCTGTGGCATATAACCTCTGCCATAGGCGGACTATCCTGAGTGGGTTTGCCCTTGCAGGATGCTGACCACGGCTTGGGTCTGCAGGCTGNCGGAGACCGCGCAGCGCGGGAGGCGGGATCCGCACGGTAAGATGGCCGCGGCGGGCCCAGGCGGTCGGGCCGAGCGTCCCCACGGGAGCGCGGCGGGGCGGGAAGGAGGCCGGCGCGGGGGCCGAGGCCCGGTGGGGACGGGGCGCCGAGCCGGGAGGGGTTCGGGGCCGGATAGGGGCCGAGCCCGGGTTACCGTGCCGCCGAGGCGCGCCCGGCCGGACCCGCGCCGGGGATCGTAGGGCGTCGAAGGTCCGAGCAGGTGTCAGGATCGGAGCGAGTTGTCGGGCGGAGGCGGCGCCCTCTGGATTTGCAAGTCAAACTGCCCCCGCTCCTCCCGGCCGAAGCGGACTCCGCAGCGTGGCGGTGCCTGGGCGCCGGGACTCGGTGTGAGTCTCACTGGGTGACCGTGGCAAGGAGGCTCCGGCGTTCAGCGTGGCGGTGCCTCGCCGCGGGAAGCAGCACGTGTGTCTGGCGGGAACGGTTTTTACGGCGGGACGGCTTCCGAGCGGACACGACGGGCGAGGACGCCGATCGCTGCTTGGGCAGCAAGTGCTCCTCGTCTCCGGAGTTGGGATGTGTAATTGTGTCCGTTGGATGTTTCGCTGCTGAGCTGTTGCCGCACAGAACAGAACCGGCCAGCCCCAGAGTTGTCGCTTTCCAACATCGCTGCCACCGCCAGGGAGTGGCACTGGCGTGGCCGCTGGTCGCCGAGTGGAAACGCCGAGAAGAGCGCCCATGTGCCCTAGGGTGCCTTGAGTTGCCTAGGAGTGAGAGTTGCATCTGAGTGGCTTAAGCAGTTGGCAGCAGCTTCTAGAGATGGGCGTCTGTCGGAGGTGCATGGTGTCCTTCCGCTTCTTCCAAGTACCTGAGGACTTTGCCGTGCGCCCCCTTGCTTCCCTACCCACACTCGCTCCCTCTGTGATCTTTGCCAGGCGCTTGGCTTTCCATATTTTTTTGGCGGATGTTTCCCTAATTAGTTCCCAGCGCTGAGGTCGGGACCTGGCATCCAGGCGCCTGCGTGACTTCTCCAGATGGGCGTCTACCAGTCGCCCAAACTCGCCCTGCTCCCCTAACCTGTTCCTCCCCCAGCCCTTCCTCGTTGGCGGCCCCATCCTTCAAGGTCTCAAGCTTGAAACCTCATCATCCTCTTGTACGCGTCCACATTCGGTTCAGCAGCAAGGCCTGTGGGCTGTCCGCAGAATCTCGACCAGCTGTGTCCCTCCAGCTCTTCTGCTGTCCTCTCGTTTACGTGGCTCCTTATCGGTCTTCCCGCTCACCTCGCCCCACGTTTGCTGTCTTTTAGCTGTTTTTAGTTGACTGAAGCAGTTTGGCAGGTTCCGTGGTATGCATAGTGTCCATAACGTGCATGTCAGTGACCAAGTGGACAGTGCTGGGCTCACCACCCATCCCGGGGCCAGCACCTATCTGCCCCTCCTCCCACGGTAGCCACCTCCTGCGTTTCATGTTTTATACGTGTTTACTGCTCACACGTTATGTCGTTTCACTTGTTTTTGTTCTTTACGAAAGTGTCTGCCACATCTGGGCCTCCACTGCAACTTGCCTTATTATCCAGCTAGTTTCTAAGACTCATCCCCATGTGTGTTCATTTAGCTTAACTGCTTTAGTAAATTCTGTTATGTGAATACACATCACAGTCCATTCTCAGCAACCCTAAGATCCAGATAGCTCTGAAAACCAAGAGCGTTTGTTTTTGTTTTTCACTTATGTGGTGTCAAAGCCCGACCTGACCAAGGCTGTGTGATAGCCTCTATTCCACTCAGTACGAACACTCACGTTTCACAGAGGAAATAATATTTGGTTACGGGTCCTGCCTCAGATCCAGGGAGGATGTCATATACGNTTCAGCTAAGCTGCATGACATCTCAATATGTGCAGCAGAACTAGTAATAAATTCTTCCTTATCCCCCCAACGTCTTCACGAAGAAGCTGAAATACTGTTACAGCTCAGGCATGGAAAGGGCCTTCCTGGCGTTGACTGCCTACCTGTGCTAATGACGGAACAGCAGCAACCCACCGCTTTACAAAACATTATCCTGAGGAATCTGGCTTTGTGTTTCTCAAGTCTCTTTAAAAGCGAGGGCTCCAGCCTGTAGGAGTTTGATTTTATCCTTTTGGGTTTTGAGAGTAAGACAAGAACGTCCACAGAGACGCTGTGAAACCTGGCCGATATCCTGGGCAGTCTAGAATCTGAGTAAAGGAAAGCACCATGTGTTTTACTCTCACAACTCTCTTCCCTTTAAAGAAAACTCTTTAATGTCTTTTAAGATGAATAAACCTTCAGCACTTCTCCTTACAGAACCGCTGATTTGCCCACACGGGACTCAACACCTGGGCTGGCACAACACCTGGCTGCTCCCCCTCCCACAGGCCCGCCCAGCTCTCTCCTACAGAGCAGCTCAGCCATTTCGTGATCCCACCAAGCTGACATCTTGGTCAACTTGCTCCCTTGAACCAGATGGTAACCGATGTGGCCCTGCATCTCCCTGTCCTCCAAGTCCCCAGCCTCCTTGCTGCATGCTCCTGTCTTTAGCGCTCTGGCCCAGCCTTCATCGTCAGTCCACATGCTCTCCATAGGGGACCTCATGCACACCTGGCTGTGCTTATCTTTACCGCTGTCCTTGCCCCTAACATCCACTCACCTGTTCCCCTAACATCACTTGATGCCTCAAATGCACATCAAAACCTAACACATGCAAAATGAGCTCATTACTTCTGAGCCTCTTCACCAATCCAGACCCTCCCTGGAGTCCCTATTCAGCAGATGGTCCCGCCCTATAAACCTGGTCTCCCTGACAGGACTCCCTTTCCCTCAGCCACCAAATCCTGCTGCTTTAATGTTGAATGCAATCAGTTCCGCCTGCTCACTTATCCCCACATCTCCTGCGGGGTCCACATCACTTCTGAAAGCGTCAACACATAGCTGTCTCCGCCTCACCCCCACTCTCCTCCAAACTCACTGGGCTCTAGTGCCTTCTGTTCCCACCATGTCACTGAACTTGCTCTGTCACCAGTAATGAAATGGACAGTTTTTGGTGAATGTCATACTGGACCTCCCTGCTGCATCTGACACTGCTAATCACATCTTCTAGAAGCTCTATGCCCCACGGTTTCGGGAGAGCCCACTAAAAGCCCCGGTGCTTGTCGAACCTCTCTGGCTGTTTCTTCTCTGTTGCCTTAATGGGCACCTTCTTTGGCTAATGGCCATGTGTTGCTGTCCCCCTGGATTCGGGACTTCATCCTCTCCTCCTCCTCCCTGTACCTTTCACATGGTATCACCGCAAAGCACTTCTCTTTCCTTGAGCTGCAGGCACCTCAAAGTCACCAAGGCCCACACTGAACTCATCGTCTTTCCTTCCCCTTGTTCTCTCTCGCTCCACGTCATCAACCAGACTACACAGCTCAGCGTCATTCTGAGCAACTTTCTTGAAGCTCTACAAACTGTCAGTCACCAAGAACTGCTCATTTACTGCCCACGGAAGGCCTCCCTTTGTCCATTTCTGTTGAAACTGCTTCCAATAAGGTCCTCCTCAAGGTCCATCACTCACTCACTTATCGCTTCACACTCTCAACAAGTATCTATGGAACTGCCACTATGTACTGCATACCTCAGCTCTCGTGTAGCTCACGTTTGTGGTGAATCGTGACTTACTGTCAGGCCTCAGGGACACACAAGTGTCCACCAAGGTTTACTCTAGGGTACCACGTGAGCATGAAGGAGACTCCGTCCAGCTGGTTTAGGGAAGCTCTCCCCACTCCGAGGAGCTCGCCTAGGCACAGGCCCAGCTCACGAGAGCCCAGAGGTAACAGCCTGCTGAGTCCAGAGAACCTCAAGTAGGTGGGGATGGCTGCAGTGGAGGGCAAGGGCAGGGCTGGGAGGCTTTTTAACTGTGCTCACTTTGCACAGGCAATTGCGAAGGGTGTGAACTGGACAGGGACAAGGAGAGATCACCGTGCCTGCTGTATGGGTTTCAGAAAGGAGCCAGCAAGACCCCTGGGAGGGACAATCTAAGGAGCAGAGAGAATGGCCTCGGTGTTCAGGGGAGAGGCTGGGAACAGTAAGGGGCAGCNGTCATTTTCCACCCTGAACCTCAAGGGCAGTTGGTTGGGTATGGGGTGGCTCACGGAACCAGCTAGAAGCCTAGAGTGTCCCCTGGCCACTGCCAACACCAGGTGTCATAGGCTCCCTTTGGAACATGACACTTGGTGCAGCAGCTCTGGGTGCCACCGAACCTTCCTCCTCAGGCCCGGAAGCCCCGCCAGGCTCGGTCTCGGAAGGTTTCCGATGCTCACCCTCGAGCCCCCACCAGAACCCTCACGTGACCCGTGCACTCAGCCCACCGCTCCCACCCTGGCTGGGGCCTGGGGTATTGCGTGGCCGTGGCCACCCTGAGCTGTCCACACAGCAGCCAGGGGATCGTGACGCCCTGCTGGCTCCTACCCTGAGCCCTGCTGGCCTCCTCCTGGCCACCTCTGCTTTCCCATCTCCTCTCTCCTCTCCTCAGCCCCGCCATTCCCCTGTGGCCCCAGGGCCCTGCAGCAGGCCAGGCCTGCACACCTGAGGATTTGCCCCTCCGTCCCAACCTACCTGCTTCCTGCTTCACCTGAACAGATTTCATCTTGGGGACAGTGCCTGGCCCAGCCTATTTGCAGAAACAACGCTTCCCCACCCTCCTTTACTCTGTCTTGTCCCCTACCCCGAGCAGCAGCTCCAGGAGGAAAGGGACTGGGCAGTGAGATGACCACGACAGTGGGATTCTGGGTCTTCGTAGAAAGTTATCATCAGAGCCTAGTGCAATGGACAGAAGCGAAGTCCTTGACAGTGGAATGTTTTGTTCACAAGTTTAGCAGCAACTCTCCAGCTTTCCTCGCATAGGGACGGTGACGGTGAGGCTGTGCTGAGTGAGGGGACACCTCGAGGGGGCTCGTGTGGCGTGGCCCAGTGGCCCAGTCGCTAGGCCGCCTGGGAGGATGGATTGAGGTGGGGAGGGTGTGTGAGGCGGCGGCAGCTGGAGAAAGCAGCAGCTGGACAGTCACTGCCCTTGTGCCCCAATGGTCAGAACCTTTACATGCTGGCTGTGCCCGTCACGTGGGCGTGAGCCCCGTTGTGGCTTCTCAGGTAAGGGCCCTGGGGACCCAGCTTGGGCTTGGCGGCAGTCCAAGCCCAGATCACCTTTGTGAAGAGCTCAGGCCCCTTCAGCAAACACCTGCTGCGTGGACACTGGTAGCACCTGGGTCAGGGTCAGGCTGGAGCCCACCTCCAAAGGTCTGTGGGAAAAGGTGGTTCCCCTTGAGTCTTCCCGTGCTGGCAGTGGGTTAAAACTATCCCTGACTTTCATCTGATGCACACAGCCCTGTGAGGTGGGGACCACCACCGTCCCCGTTTATATGTGGGGCACACAGGCTTTCAACGAGTCCAAGCCAGCCCCAGGGGCCAGGATCACCACCCGGCCCCGCCCCTCCAAAGTCTCGCCGGGCAGGACGCTGCAGCCCGGAGCAGCAGGGAGGCTCTGGGCCTAGCCTCTGACCCGGGGGCGCGGCCTGGCCGCCCCGACGGACGTCTGCTGGGCGGGGACCAAGAGGCACGCCCCGCCTGCCGCCAGCCCTGCCCCCGCGGTGGCCGTCCGGGGGCGACAAGCCCTGGGAGCGCCGGACGGAAGCGCCGCTGGGACTGACACGTGGACTTGGGCGGTGCTGCCCCAGTGAGCCGGCTGGGCGGGAGCCGGGCTCCAGACTCGCTGCGCCCTGGCAGTCCCTGCCCGATGCAGCAGTGCCCGGACGAGGCCCGCAGGGATGCGGCCGAGGACGCCCAGTGGTCCAGGTGGGGCCGCGCGGTTTCGCTGGCGGCAGTCAGGGGAGGGGGCAGCGTGTCCTGTGCGGAGACGTCCCGCGGGGCCTCTTTCGCGCCCCCTGGGAGGCAGCCCATGCCCTGGGGAGGAAGACACGCACAAGTACCCTGAACCAGTCTGGACCCTCCCTTCCATCTAGCCCCAGGGCCCGGCGAGTGCCCCCTGCGCCCTCTGCAGGCTTCTGGGGTCCTTAGAGGTCCTTTAGGCAGGGCAGCGGCTGGGAAGGGGGGGGGGTCACTCACAACTGGGCCTCACATCCTGGAACTGCCCCTGCCAGGTAGGACCACACTGAGGTCACCAAGGAGCAGTTCAGGTCACCTGACCAGGGCAGTTGGGCACATGCTGGAGCCTGTGGCCAGGTGGCTGAACCTGCCACCATGTGCCATGTGTGCTGTGGACCAGGCCCAGCGGGGGAGCTGGGGGGGATGTGGGGGGAAGGGCCCAGACAGGTCACCCCACTCCTTTTCATGTCTGTTTTCCAAGTCTGTCCAGTGCCATGTGCAACCCCAATCAGGAATGAGACGGGGGCCCCCAGAGGAACCCCCAGGCCACTGTGGCTCGGCTTTCACTCTGGTTCTGTGGTCTGAGGTCAAGCCAGGCAGCCCCCAAACCCAAAGGCAGGCCCTGTGGCTCCAGGGCCCATCCACCTCCAGCTGTGAGTCCCCAGGGAAACTGCTGTTGGGGCCTCCCTGCACTGCCTGCAGGATGGTGGCACCTTCCTGCCCCTGAGCCCGGCACACGGCTGCAAGAAGGCCCTGCAGGACAGTCCTCCCACGCTGGGGTCGAGATGGAAGCAAAGCTAGCAGGGAAGATGGGGCGAGGCTGGCGTTCAGAAGTCCTCAGCAGCCAGAAGGCTCCCTGGGGACAGTGAGCAGGGAGACGCGCTGGCCACAGTGAGACTGTGAGCCCCACTCAGCCCGGCTGTCTCCCCCGGGGTTAGTTAGACTGTGGGCCGTGAGGGCCAGGCCCGGGTGGGCCAGGACCCCAGGACCAGGACGTGCCCTTGGGCCTGCCGCTGGCTCACGTCCTCCCTTCCCACCCTGCTGGTGATCAAGGTGGGGCGTCCCTGTCACCTTGACCTGGGTAGCGGGCCAGGCTTCGCAGCAGCNGGTGGGCCTTTGGCGGAACAGGCTGTGGCATATAACCTCTGCCATAGGCGGACTATCCTGAGTGGGTTTGCCCTTGCAGGATGCTGACCACGGCTCGGGTCTGCAGGCTGCGCCCCAGCCCCAATACTATGAGGTTCTGGGCCGGGGGGGGAGAAGGGCGTCTGGGTTCATTGGTCCTGACACCCCTCGTCTGCAGGGGGGAGTGCATTTCTTGCTGCAAGGGGTATGTGTGTGGAGGTAAATAGGAACATAGGGCTTGGCTCCATCTGCAGTGTTTGTAAGTCTCCCGGCTGGAAGGCCAGGTTCACGGGTGGGTCCAACCTGAGCACGGTTAGGAAGAAAGTCTACCAGACTCGTTTGTACGCTGCTCTAACCCAAAGGACTAGCAGAAGGAATCAACTGGGCACGTGGGTTTTGTCCACATCACCTCTGAGTGCTCCAGTGAGTGCAGCAAGTTGCACGGCCGCCCTCCTGCCCGCTGTGGGCGCCGAGCGGTCAGGCTCACCGCCCTGCGTGGTGGGAGACTCCACTCGCATGGCACCTCGGGGCAGGAAGGCGACAAGGATGCCACTGCTGGGCACACTGCATGTGACTCTGGGTTCAGAGTGCTCCGGGGTTTGGAGTGTGTCGCGTGAATTGTGACCAGAGAGGAGGGACGAAGCTTCTGCCAGCAGGCTAACGCGCTCTCCACCTGCCTGTGAGCAAGGCTCCCCGCCCCACAGATCACCGTGTCTGACAGTGTGGTCACTTTCCCAGCTGGCTTCTGGAAGTGAAACAAACTGCCCAGCCACCAAAGATTCCCACACCAGGGCAAGACTATAAATTTGTAAATCCTAACTCAAAGACTTGTTTTCTGTGAGGGTATCGAGTTTGATTTCTTTTCCCTTTTGGTCTGGGCTGTGCGGCTTTGGGGGATGTGTGTGAGGGGTGGGGCTGTGTGTTTTTTAATTTTTCAAATATATATTTTGGTGCTGTATGTGGTGAGAGAGTCTTTCATGGTAAATCAATGAGCCATCTCTTCTAGGCAGTTTTGTTGAAAATAAAGGTTTTTCTTTGATTTCAAGAATGACCAAAGTGGCCTCTGAAAAGTTTCAGTCATCTCAAACGAACTTTCGTTTTCGGGGCTCACTTCCCCGTGGTGATGGCAGTGGCATCATCTTCCCGGTAGGGCCTTACTCAGTCTGACCATAGCCAGCCTCTTGACCTCTCGGTTCTAAGACCCTTGGCTCTTTCGTGCACTCACCCTTCCTTCTTCCTGGTCCCTCACCCTGCATTCGAGCCAAAGGCCCTTTGCACTCCCTGTACTTCAGATTTAAAACGTCTTCCTACTCGCTCTCTCTTCTTACTATGTCTCTTTTTATTTCTGAAATGACCACAATTATCACAGAATTATTCACTGATTCTTAAATATTTTTTTTTCCTGTAGAAATAAATCAGAATGAGTTATGCAGAAAAACCCGATGAAATCACGAAAGATGAGTGGATGGAAAAGCTCAATAACTTACATGTCCAGCGAGCAGACATGAATCGTCTCATCATGAACTACCTGGTCACAGGTAACGGCTTCCAACAAGGATGTTACTACTCCTCCCTTTGTACCCATGGTCAGAACGAGGCAGTGAGGTCCCATGGTAACTTACTGCCTCGGGGCAGCGCGGCGCGCCGGCCTGTTTCCCGCCCCCGCCCCGTGCCCTCCGGGCTCACACAAACGACGGAAAGGATGCTGGGACCTTCGCCTCGGATTCAGTCTAGATGTCGCCATCCCGGTGCGAAGTTACCCCACAACGAGGCCTCGACGTCGGCCATCTTGCCCAGAGGACGACGCCTTTTGACTCTCGCGCCAACCCGTAGAGCGAGCGCGCCTCGAAGGGCGTTCCGCGCAAGAACGGAAGTTGCAACTGTGCTAATGACGGAACAGCAGCAACCCACCGC